CAGGTAGACAGGGAGAGATATGACATATTCCAAGAAGGTAAAAAAGCAGGTGCTGGTTTGTAGATTATTATGTCTCATCTCATATAATCCCATTTATGGATTATAAGTCTTTCACTGATGAAAGAATGAATTCAGTAAAAAAAATGTATTCAGTAAAATGCTGTTAAGTTGATTAATGCAAAAATGTATCTGTTTTGGAAATAAATGGTTACAGATTTTATTTGGTTCCTTTTCTAAAATATTTGTGACTTTTATTATGTTGACTTGTAGGATATTCTGATTTAGTTTTTAATGATCATTATCGTTAATATTATTGGTTTCCCCAAATTAAAACCTTCCACTTTAACATAAAAAATAGAATGTATAAATATACTTCATAATCCAATAATTTTGCCATACTGTCTATATTTGTTAAAAAAATCTTAAAATATGTATAAATATGTAAACTTTTTCACCAATGGCAACGAAAAGGTTAGGTGCTCCATAAATGAATGGATGAATGGGTAGGTGGATAGACAGACCAATGAAGGACACAGAGAATGGACTTTCCACATGATAGCCCAGCTGATCTCTTAAAAATGAAAGTTGGATCATGTCATTCTCTTACATAAAAATGTTAAGTGCATGTGAATAAAGCCCAAAACCTAAAAGAGAAAAAAGAAAGCGAAGTGCAGAATAGTGATTATAGCGTGCTGTCATTTGTGGGCTGGGCAGAGCATAACAGGACATGGGGGAGGGAGACTCTACCCCTGCATATCTCGAACTCTGAAATGTATGCATGTGAGTACAAAAATAAAATATTCTTTTCTATAGTTCCAACATGTTTTAAAATGAGCTTGTACTTCTTTTTGTAATAATTGTTTTTAAAGAAAACTTCAAAATTGATGCATCTTTAATTATCTTACAGTCTTTGGAGCTAGTTCCTCAGTATTTTAAAGCCATGCATGTGGTTCTTTTTCTCTGTGTGCTCCAAATGAACAGTTCAGAAAATGGTAAACCTTGTGGCCCCTTTTTAAAATACACACCCATCTTTCTTTGCTTGGCTCTCCTATGCGCTGTTTCCTTCCTATTTTAACATTTGTGATTTATATCAGTGGCTCTTGATCTTTGGTGAACTGGAGCTTGCCCCAGGGAAGCTGTTAAAAAGCAGATTCTCAGGGTGCTACTCCCATTCATTCTTGGGCAGTGGGTCTAGGCGGGGCCCTGGAATCTGCTTTTTAGCATCATTACAAGAGATTCCAATGCAGATGGTCCATAGTCTATACTTTTCACCCAAAATATTCATCTATGACTTGTTAAGAAAACAGTATTTTTCATTTAAAAGTGACAATCCTATGTAGTCTAGAATTTAGATTTGAAAGTGATCTCTCCTGATGACTCCTTCCCTAACACACACACACACACACACACACACTACTTAGATCTTTATAAACATCAGTATTATGTTACATGCCTCATAATGTGGTTCTCTGTGTATTTTGTCTTCTCCTCAGCTTTCTGAGAGATCCAAATCATTATCTACCCCAATTCTCCAATGTTGCAAAATAAAAAAAGTACAGAGTTCAAATTTTACTTTCTTTGGCTTAGGGATCAAGTTTCTCTGCCAGCTGTGTACGTTTCTAGTATCCCCCTCTCCACCTCCCAACGAAGCTCTGATATAGACAAGCACAGTGCTAACCCTTTCAAGCGCCATGGTGCCTGCTAAGTCCAGAGACGGTCTCTTGTTTTATTTTAAAATATCAGCATAAATCATTTCTGGTAGCTTTCTGTGCCTTTCCCAGGACCTCTGATGAGCCCTTTCCTCTGTGAATCTTAAAGTGGAAGGAACTCCTAAAAAAGCAGCACAAGTGGTTCAGATAAGCATCCCAGTGGGTTTTCCACGTGACATAAATTATCAACTGCGGGGAGAAGAGCCCAGGATGTATAGCAGCAGCTCTATGCTACCCCCTGGTGGCAAGACACTCCATGTCATCCCAGCCCCACCAGGTATCCTGGCTCTCAGACTGACTTCTCAAGCTCACTTACTGGTTCCCCAGTAAGTTCCCCAAATATTTGCTGGTAAACAGTTAACAGTGTGACTGGCAGGAAGCAAAACATGCAGTTAGAATTTTAGCTTCTTCTGCCCAGCTGAGCATCATCGTTCTGCCAATTGTGTAACTTTTTTTTTATTTTAGCACAGAGCTTATGAGCCTAATCTTAATGAAGAGATCAGTCAAAAGGCAAATGTGGAAGACCTCCTAGACTCAAAGCACAATCCTAATAGCATAAGATATATATACCTAAACCATCACTGGTAAAACTCCAGAGCTTTTGAGAAAAGTCACTGCACCCACCAACTGGGACATTCACCCCTGTCCTGACCTGGAACCTCAGAACAGGTCAGGGCTAACTCGAAAGTGATTGTCCCAGGGGTACAACTTGGATGATTCAGCCTGAAGGACAGAGAGGACTGAGAGCAAATAGGATAACAGTTCACCAGTCTGGAGGATGCTCTGTGTCCCCTGAGATTAGATAAGAAATAACATGGGGTGGCATTGGGGGTGGCTCAAGTTCTTTCAGTAAAGAATTTCCTAAAAAGTGCCTATATCTTGTACCTGGATTCTTCTTTAAGGATCACCAGGAAAAAAAAAATATTTGGTCAGGAACAAATGTGCCCAAGGTGAGGGGGGTGCATTTGGGGTCCCTTCCAGCCCTACAAGTAGAGGTTCATTTAACAGTCTCTGTGAATAGACGAGATAGGATAATGTGAATAAAAGCAAAAACCAATTTTCTTGTAAGATTTGGACAGAAATGACCTCACCCATGCACATAGCAATCATTGGGACTGAATGCATCTCTGGGATTTCAAGTTCCCTGGTGACAGAGGCAGACTTTAATGGAAGCTGCTTGCTGAGCTAATGCTCGAGCCCTGAGTGGAAATTCTGAGATCAATAGGCCTTTCTAAATTCACAAAATCAAGACTGCACCTAAAGCTTAATGGTCTGATAAGAACAGCAAATACATACTGTCCTTTCCTCTCTTCCCTGCCATGCATTTAATTGGTTCACACACCACTTTTCCTAGAAGTTAATGCTGTCATTACATGCAACCTTTGGCAAGAGGTGAGCAAGGAGAGGTAACAGATCCGTGCACAGAAAATCTCATGAAAGATGGAATTACAGCAATCAAGCTCCACCTCATTATAAATAGCTACATTTTCAAAGAATGCTAGTGAGGTCCACTCCTAAGTTGGGTCTCTGCTATGCTTAAGCGAAGTCTCCACTTTGCTGAGATTGCTAATTGGATCAAATGTTCCCAATTCAGAGTTACAGGCACTTTGTTTTAGGTAAAAGTCTGAATTACATATTTTTAAAATGAAAATTCTTTCCTAGAACAATGCTTATTGAACTGGGCATTGTAGTGAGTCTTTGATCAGGGATATTTCTTCCTTGTATTTGTCTTTTATGAAATGTAAAAGCCCAAGTAAAATATCAGGGAAATGAAGAAAGCCTTAAGACAGTAAATCAGGAAACAGTATCATGTATCTTAAATATAATCAAAACTTGCCTGTTTCATAGGGATTCTGCTGTTTCCCACACTTTCTAGAGGCCCAGTTAGAAGTCATGGAAGAAAAGACTTCTTTATGAACTAAAGGGAACTTGTGCTCAAGAGATGACTCTGAAAAACAGCTAAACTCCCAATCAGGAAAGGGCTGGAGAGAGATGCTCAGCAGATGAGAAAAATGTTCAACAAGGGCTGAAACACATGGGTTAGTTAGCCACAAAGTGTGATTCCTGAGAATATCCCCTCCGTAATCCTCCTATAACTGAAACTTATCTCACTCTATTATTTTTTTAATTGTTTATTTAAGTAATCTCAATGCCCAACATGGGGCTTGAACTCATGACCCCGAGATCAGGAGTCACATGCCCTTCCAACTGAGCCAGCAAGGCACCCCATCTCACTCTATTATTGATATTGCTTGTTTTACCTTGTCCACCACCCCACTCCCAGCTGGACTGTATGCTCAGAGCAATGAGAATATGTCTGCTTTTTTCATTATCCTATCTCAAGCGCCTACCAGAGTGCTGGCACTCAATAAGTAAAAGTTAAATTTAAATTAAGCTAAGGTTTTGCTATAATAAGCAAATCAGGCAAGAATGAAAAAAGAATTCAGCAACAAGCATCCATTATTTAATAACATCTCATAAATATTAAAATGTCATAATATAAGAATAACTGAATTCTGAAGTTGAAAACCTATTGAGGAATCATTAATTTCTTAAAATCTTAAGGTTAGAAAAAAAACCATTGCTTTAAAACCAGACTCTTCTTACTCATCAGTATCATCCATGAAAAAGATATTTAATGGTTTGCTTTGCCCAGTTTTAATGAACCCAAACTCTAACTTTGTATTAGAAAAGGAAGGGCGACTGAAATCATGTCTGGTTACCACTGTTTATATAATTTCTCACCAGAGGCCACAGGCGACAGGACTGCTTACTCTAGAGCCCTCAGAATATAAGAAACACACGGAGCAGCCAATAAGTCTGGAGTTCAACTTCCACAGCTCTTATGTGAATACACTCAAGAATTTTTTTCTTGCTGAATTTATCATGAATAACCACTTACCAAATCTACCAATATTGACTTTGCAAAATCCCTCCCCACACCTGTGACTTAGGACTCTTGTCTTATCTTCCCTCATTGAGTGGGAGCAGAATAACTGAGGAGAGTGGAATTTGGTGATGGGCAACGGGGATGTTTCTGAAAAGCAGATGTTTTGAAGATATTTTATTTTTCAATACCTTTAATGATCGAAAAAAGCAAGATTTAAAGCAGGAAGGAAAAAACAAAAACCACAAAACAATGAAAAAACAAACAACATCAACAACAACAAAAACCCCAAAAAACAAAAACCGAAACTTAAACTTTCCGGGGGGGCGGAATGCTCTAAATATGAAATGACTTAAAGAGAACACTTATTTAATATACAGTCCTGATGTATCTCACCATTCCTTCAAACAGCTGGGTATTTTAAAGTTATCTCCTCAGCGCCCTTCTAATGCTCTGAAAACCACCTTTCTCAAATAATGAGACAAACAGCTTTCTTTCCTGAGTATGTAAGTTTTATAAATTGCATCAGATCCACAGTGAGTGTCTTTCACGGGGTTTCACCAAAACCAAAGAAAAGTTCAGAGATAAAACTGCAGCAAAGACCTGGGAAAGAATGTAGAACTTCACAGTCACAGAACTAACCTGCAAGCTGTCCTTAGTCTTGGGCACCTGAAATCAAACCCACAAGCCCACGTCCAAGGGCTAGGAGGACCACGTGGGAGACTAGCTGCATAACAAGAGAGTTGGTCCTATCTCCCCTCCAGGGGTCTAAACTGTAACTCCCGTTCCAACTGCTCTGCAGTCAGGGTGCCCTGAATGGCTTCGCAGCCTGGGTTGAATACAGAGTAGGCACTCTTCTCTCCCTCTCTCCTCTCTTCAGGGCCTCGTGTCCCGACATACATCCAGTAGAACAAGGACAGGACAAAATAGGCCAGGCCAAATTCCAGTTCCACAAACAGTCCCAGCAGGACCAACCAGAGAAGAACCTTCAAGAAGGTGATGTTGGTCAGGAAAGACTGGTCCCGTGGCGATGGCAGAGGAATGGCTGTATTCCGTGGTGGCTGTGATGTGCTGCTCCCGGGCTGAGCCACTTCCTAGGACACACAAACAAACAAAAGTAAGAATAAAGGGCAATGGGGCTCAGAGGATCAAAACCAATCTGGAGAGACAGCTCTCATTGCTTTGAGAAGGCTTCCGGCTCATTGATTTCTATTTTCTTGCCCTGCTCTCTAAAACAATCATCTCCAAAGAGCTCACATGCCCTGCTCGGACTGAATCAAAACTGATCTGCACTTAGTGAGATGTGACCTGATAAAAACCTTACAGCATTCAGATGGATTCCCATTTGTGGGAGTCACTTCCTCAGATTAGTCTGCTGCTAACAAGAGCTAATTTGTGCCCCATACAGAAACTCCCGTTATTGATAATGCAACAACCACACCTAATGCTTCACACACAGAATCAATATGTTTATTGATTTGATTAGATGAGCTACAGTTTTGTGAGTGACATAATTCTAAAATGAGGACAATACCAGAAACAAGAAACAAAACTCCCTTCCACTTATTAAAAACAAATCATCAGGGACGCCTGGGTGGCTCAGTCGGTTAAGCATCTGCCTTCGGCTCAGGTCATGATCCCAGGGTCCTGGGATCGAGTCCAATATCCGGCTCCTTGCTCAGAGGGGAGCCTACTTCTCCCTCTGCCTGCCGCTCCCCCTTCTTGTGCTCTTTCTCTGACAAATAAATAAATAAACTCTTTAAAAAATAAAAATAAAAATAAAAACAAATCCTCAGTATAGCCACAACCTTTCCATCCCAGGACCATCCTACACACCCCCCAGCCCAGGCATTATCTCTAACGGGACTCCCTCCCTCCTATCTCTTCCCTCTGCAAACCATCCTACGTAAAGCGGCTAAGTGAATTTCCTAAAACACCCACCAACCTCCTGTTCACAAACCTTCAACAAATTTTACTGCCTGCAAGTTAAAATTTAAAATTTTTGGGCTGGAATCCAAGCAAGGCCTTCCATTTATTCAACAGATAGAAATGCCAATACACGGGTCCCTGTGTTGGGTGCTAATGGGAGACACAGATATTTAGGTAGCTTTAGGGAGGCATGATGTCTAGTCTGACATTTCCCCAACTTTTCTGGGTATGGCTCATAATAAGAAATACATTTTGTACTGGGACCCAGCGTATATACATATAAAAAATAGAAAAAGCTTCACAAACCAACAAATATTCTTCACCACATATGAAATTCTCATTTTCTATTCCATTTTTAAAAATTTATCTTTAACAGAGGACTAGATCCTCTAAATTGATTTCACCACCCACTAATGGGTCACGATTTGTAGTCTGAAAAACAATGGTCTTAAAAATTTCCTGTACAACACAATCTACAATCCATTGCACTATCAATGAACCTCTACTCCAGTTCAACAGGTCTTAACACTCAAAGATATTGCCCACCTGTAGCCTGGGACAGGCATGACTGGTGAACTATGTATGCTTGACCTCTTTGGCCATTAAGGAAGGGTGCCCCCTCTGTCTCCCAGAGCACTAATTGCCTGTCTTTTTCACTGAGCACCAAACTACTTGCCAGTTAAGTGTTTTTCTTTTAATACAGGTCACATGTGTCCCTAGATTGTTACCAGGAGGCCAATGGACTACCATTTATTATCTTTTGATGTCTCCACAGCCAAACACAGCACCCCACACATAGGTTCTCATAGGATTTGACCAGTGTGCACAACAGGGAAATCACTGAAAGTCTCAGCAGGGAACTAATATAATATGATTTATATTTAAGACTACTCTGGCTGCCAGGTAGAGAATGGGCTACAAGAGCAGAAGCAGGGAAATTATGAGTAGCTCATGCAGGAGGCCCAGTAAGAGAGGAGCACTGGGCATAATGGGGGTGGTGACATACAAGTCAGAGAGAAATTATGGACTGAGGGATACAGAATACATTTTGAAAGTGTACAACTTGAAATTCACAGTAGACTGAATTTATTACTGAGGGAGAATAATGCTTATGGCCACCACTTACTGAGTGCCTTCAAGATGTCTGATCTCCAGTAATCCAGGAGACCGGCACTATTAATCCCAACTTACTGATACGGAAACACTGAGATGTTAATTAAGTAACTCCCCTAACGTCACACAGCAAGAGATAGGCAGAGATGAGGTTGGTGTCACCAGGATCCTAGGATGGTCTCCCTCCACAGCCCTTTGTACTTTATCAGGGGCCTTTATGGGAGATGGTAAGGGGAAGGGTTAGAGATCTAGAAGGAGATGGGGGGGGGCAAACCAACTGGCAAAGGGAATAAACAAGAGGAGAGAGAAATTCCTTTACCTTATTTGGCATTTGCTTTAGTACCAGTGTGGCTTCTGTTATAAAAGCTGTGTATAGTAGTGTTTGTGGTCATCACAGCACACAGAGGCATAGTTTAGGGAAAGTACTTCCAGTTCTCAAATACCAAGCTCCTTCCCCCCTCAGGGCCTTTGCACCTGTGGTTCTTTTTGAGAGGAATGCCCCCTTCCCCTCACATCACCTGGCTGGCTCACTCTCTTCTACAAACCTCAGCAAAAATGTTACCATATGTGCCCTTTGCCTTGTCCTGGGTTTCTCCAAGAGTGGCTCCTAATTATGAAATGCCACCTCCTCAGTGAGGTCCTCCCTGCCCATCTCATTTAAAGTAGCACTCTGCACCTGTCTCCCCCAATTCACTAGTACAGTATCCTGTTTTTTTCCCCCTTTCATGGCATTCGTTATTCCGCTCTTCTGTTTCTTGTCTGTTGCCTCGAACCCAAATGCAAGTTCTGTGAGAACAGGGCTTCATCTGCTCTTATCACCCTGTTTCCCCAGATTCAGGATAGGAGCTGGAACAGAGTGGGCACATGATATAATTTTGCTGAATAAATGAATGATGGTGAGGGAAAGGGAGAAATTAAAAGATGATTCCTGGGTTTGAGAGAGTGATGCAAAGGCTATGCTTCACCAGGTGACTCCAAAGAAGGAGAGCATTTGAGCAGTGGGTCAACCCGAGCCAAGGGTTGGGGTGAGGAGTCATAGGATGTGTGGGCACCTTTGGGCTAGATGGTGCACTGGGGGCTGCTGTGGGATATGCCTGGGGAGGGAGACAGGGGGTTTTTGCAGGACTGAAAAAGTCACAAGCATTCTGGTCTTCATTTGGCAGAAGCTTATCACAGAAAGAAATATCTTGGGGACTGTTTTCCTCAAGCTAAATTGGAGAGTGGGGGAAGCAGGATCTGGATGCTTCCTTATCAATGACAACCAAGAAGCAATTACAAATAGAAGGCTAAAGAAATTTCTGACAAGCCACCATGTGTCAGCAAAATTATTAAGAGAGATGGATTGTAAATTGGGAGGAAAAGAAACAATTTAATGAGAATTTTCACACCAGAGCAAAGCCAGGAATGATAACAGAGTCAATGAAAATGAGCTTAAGACAGAGTCCCTTATGAAAAACAGAGTAATTAATAAGAACCAACTGTGGGTCCAGCATTTCTTGTCATCCTTTTGTCAGGACATCAGCTTTTGGGCTTTTAATAATGGAGACTTTCTCCAAGTTCAGCTTCTCTAGGTTCAATTCAATGATCTCATATTCCTTTGGAAATGAGACATACAGGAAAATACTCATTGTGTGGGTTAGACTTTGATTTTTAACTGCAGAGACGAAAAAGGGTAAGGGAAGTAGATTCTAAAATCTTGAGCAATTGTGCTCAGTGAGTTCTAATCAACAATAAAGTTATCCCGAGACAAACTGCATGCAAGGAAATGGATTGTTTGAACCCTGCTGCACTCGCTTTCTGTAAGTCTGATAGACCCAGGCGTGTCATGGAGAATGAGTAACAATGAGTTCTCCTTGGTTTAAAAAATTGCCTAAAACCAGATGTTATGCAGTAATAAATAAACTAAGAGAAATAATCTTAAGAGGAGTAAGGTACACTTCTGCTCCAATACATTTTCATTTTCAAAAGGAATTTTTGGCTCTTGAGATACAAAAGGCTTTGTCACACACTGTCACACATTGTCTCAAGGCACCGAATTTCCCTGGATGTTGTGTCCTGTATTCCAATATAGATCATCTAATCTCACACCTGCAAGGCACCTTGCCACTCTACTCCTGAGTGAAAACTAAATGAAAATACAAGATGTGAATCAAGTCCATCTGCAAAATAAGAGAATACCAAGAATTAAAGGGGGAAAAGTCTGTAATACTCATCTAAATAATGTCTTCACCTGAACATTCACTATTAAACTTGAGTAAGTTTCCCTAGTTCAATAGCGGTGCACAAGCATCGGCCACCTCTGTCAGTTAGAGCGACCACACTTTTACAAGTTTTGTATTCAAATGCCACTTTCTAAAGCACAGGCTATTTGGGCTACTGGCTGCATGTGACCCAAGGGGGAAATCAAAGAAAGCTTTAATTACTGCCGCTTTTTAGCAGTATCCAATTAGACCTTTCACCCTCCATTAGCGGAGGGTTGCGGCTGAAAGCGGTTGTGAAGTTTCCCGAAGCCAGAGGGCATCACAATAACTCAAGGGCAGAGGTGCTTTCTTCCAGGGCCCTAGACCCTCGCTTCCCGACTGGAATCGGGAGCTGCGTGGGTCGCGGGCTGGAAAGAAAATGTCAAAGCCACGGATCAGTGCTGACACGAGTGGCCGGAGACTGCCGGCCCATCCCCCGAGCAGGCGGGAGGCGCCAGCAACCCAGCTTGACCAGCGGAGGTGGGAACCAGAGGACGGGGCGGGTCCCGCTCCTCGACGGGGGCGTGGCCTGTAGGCCACCACGCGGTGGGCGGGCGGTGGGCGTGGACTCGGCCACAGTTTCCGGGGAGGCCACGACAGCGTCCCTGAAGCCAGGTCCCGGGGTCGAGGCCTCCCTCTCACCTGAGCGAGGCTGGACTGGGCCCGGGCACTCGCGAGCCTTGGTTTCCACACCTGGAACCGTGTTAGCCAGCCTGGGGCTGCCTTTGGAGTCGCAGCTGCTTGCGCCTTCTCTCCTGAGGTTTGTGCACTCGGGCTCGAAGTGTTAGGTTCGGCAGCCAGCCCGGCCCGTTTCCTAGCCGCCCGAAACTCGGCTAACCGCTGTTCCATGGCGCGCGCCTCGCTTCCCGCCCGCCGGGAACGCGCACCCGCCCGCCGGGCCCCTGCCCTCCGCTGTTCCGGTGCCCGGCCGCACTGCGCCTGCGTAAAGACGGCTTTGTGCCGCGCCTGCGTGCTGGCGGCCGGGCCAGCGAGCGCTGGGTCCGTGACGTTCGTTGGGCGGAATATCCAGCTAATAGTCCCTTCTAAGTGCGCGTGGCCGTAGTGTCAGGCTCTCTGGCGAAATGGTTATGAGTTGAAAGCATAGGAACATCTGGCTGGCCCAGTCGGTAGAACATAGGGCTCTTGATCTCGGGCTAGTGAGTTTGAGCTCCTGTTGGGTGTAGAGATTACATGAATAAATAAAAACTTTTTTAAAAATCTAAAACATAAAGACTTACATTGTTCCCCTCTCGCTAGGGGGCTTTTCCGAGGAAAGTTCTTCAGAGCTCCATCTCACTTCAGGGATCCGCTCCCCATCAGGTGGAGCATGCCTTTAGCTGTTAGGCACTAGTATTGCTCTCCAGTTTCAGAGGGTCCCAGGGCATTAAGGAAGGCCCATCATCTCTGGGAGGTTCTGGGTCAGAAGGAACACAGGATGCAATCTCCCCTTTTCCTTTGAACAAGTCCGCGACCTTAGCGCTTTAAGGGTGACTGTCCGCTTGCTCAGCAGCGGGCCATGCAGACCCTCTATCATTGCTTTTGCCACAATGAAAAATACCTCTCCGTGTGTCTAGATGGGTCAGAAACTAAAAAAAAAAAAACAAAAAACAAAAAAAAACCCTTTTATTGGGGTGCAACTTAAAATACACAAATCTTAAGTGTATCGCTCAATAGGTTTGTAATTATGAATACACCCAAGTACTTCCTAGAAAAAGAACGTTTCTGGTACCCTGAGGGCTCCCTTGTGCCCTCTCCTAATCACTACTCACCCAAAAGTTCACAATTCAGGTGTCTGTTAGATTTTTAAAGCTCTAAGCATCTAGCTAAGTGCCGCTCATATAATTGAGACTCAAATATCTCTTGGATCTTGCTGAGTTGGAGTCAGGAAACTAGATAAAATGGAATGGAGTCTTGCATTCATTTAACAGATATTTATCAAGACCCTGCTGTATGTCAAGTATTGTACCTGGCACTAGAGATGCTGGAGTGAATGAAATGAACCTATTTTATTTGAGCTTACATTCTAAATAGACAAATGTGTAACTACATATTTATATTTAATGTAATGTCAGGTACTGATTAGTGCTGTGAAGAAAAATAAAGGACTAGGGATGGTGGGACTGTTTAGAACTAATGACCAGGGAAGACTTCTCCGAGGAGTTGCCATTTCCCCAGAGACCTAAATGAAATGAGTGAGCCATGTAGGTATCTGAAAAGGAATATTTCAGTTGTAGGAAACAACAAGTGCAAAGGCCCTGAGACCTTAAGTCTATGCTTGACTTGCTCCTAGAACATCAGGGAGGCCAGCATAACCAGAGCAGAGGGAGGGAGAGAATTGAGGAAAATAAAGATTCACGGATATCCAGATGTAAGGCCTTCTAGGCCATGGTGAAGACTTTATATTGCATTCTGAGAGTGATGGTAAGTGCTTGGAAGACTTTGACTAGGAGACAACAGAATATGACATATTTTTAAAGGATCACACTGGCTTGCTTCAGCTGGGGCCCTGGAAGAGTGCAAGAGTAGGGGGAAAAGCAGTTAGGGGCACAGTAGGACAACAGAGGCTGACTGTTTGAGCTAGAGTACTGGTGATGGGGGTGGTCAGATTTCGAATATATTTTGAAGATCTGAGCCACCTGATGTGTGGATGGATTGGATGTGGAATATGCAAAAAAGGAATGGAGCATGATAGATTTCTGCTATACTCTCTCCCCCTCAGACACACACCCTGAGTAACCAAGTGAAAGATGCTGTGGCCCTCTACCTAAATGAGGGAAGACTAGGAAGAGCAGATTATGGAATGAACATGGAGAGTTTTCTTTTGGACATGCCAAGAGTCTGAGATGCCTCTTGGATATCCGGTGTAGGCAACTCGATGGTGAAAATGAGTTCAGGAAGAAGGCAGTACTGGAGATGCATATTGGGAATCGTCAGCATGTGTATGATATTTAAAACCATAAAACTAGATGAGATTAGAAGGTGAGTGTGGATAAGGAGGGAGGATATTTGAGGTCTGAGCCCTGAATAGAGCTGGTTTGTGAGACAGAAAAGAATGGGATCATCATACCACAATGACCTCTTCTAGAGAAACCACAGGAAAAATTTCTTGCCTATCTTGGTGTCAGGAGTAGGTCTGCTTCTCTCAAGGCACTGGAGGTTCTTTTAGTGATTGTGTTTCCCACTTGATAATCACACTGAGACCTGAGAGCTGTATTTATGGTCTACTTCTAGTGTGTATTTACACTTAAGGCATGTGATCTGTGGGCTCTTATAATCAGGGTCCCTGGCAGGAAAAAATGACACTTTCAAGTAAGTAAGTAAGGAGAGTAAGTAAGGAGAGTTTCATGAAGGAGTTATTACAAAGGTGTGGCAGGATGGAGGGAGCCAGTCGGGGATGGTTCACAGGCAGCATTACCAGCCTCTAGGCCTCCAGCAGCAAGAGAACACAGTGGTCATCAGACCCTGTGGGACTGTAGTATAGGACAAGCCCGAGACAGGGGAGCCCTTTAAGGAGGACAGACCAGCTAGGGAAGGGGAGAGAGAGATGAGGAGGAGCACATGGAGACTATCCAGCCCAACACTAATGCCGTTTCAGCCCCATCTTGCTTTGATAACCTTATTTTCCCTTTGCTTTGTTTTCTGATTTATTATACATTTATTTTGTCTCAGTGCTTTGTAAACCTCTTTAAATCCTTTTTGGAAGAGGTTGAAAGAATGAAAAAAAGTAAAAATGAAAGATAATTGCTGAACTACATTTCCCTTTTGGATAAGATTATGAGGCTAGTAAATAAGAAAGGTCCCAAAATGTACTTAATGTGTGAATTTAACATTTATTATGAAACAGTTTGTACATACCAAGTTCATATATATATATATATATATATATATATATACACAGACACACAGACACACGTATATACATATACAAACCTGGGGCGAATTTGTATATGTATACGTATATATCATATTTGTAAGTTAAAAGTAATAAAATATTCACAGGTCCTGTGATATTTTAAATCCTTGGCCTCAATTCTCCACTCCTTGTATCTGTGCCATAAAAAGCAGAGTATACTTTCCCATCCCTTGACTTTGAACTCAGCCATGCAGTTTGCTTTGGCCAATAGGATAATGGCAGACATTATGCACGCGGGGGCTTGAAGCGTCTTTGTCGCACTGAGTACACCCTCTCAGTACTCCGCCCTGCCATGAGATGAGCTTGTATCAGCTAGCCAGCCTAAGAATAATGAATCATGTGGATATCGTCACGCAGCTGACCCACAGACCTGCCATTAAAGCTGAGGTGCCCAGCTGAGCCCAGCCTCAAATAGTTGACCCTAGCTTACCACAAGACGTATAAAAAATAAATGCATATTTTATGTCACAGAAATTTTGTGGGTTTTGTTATACAGGAAAAGCTACTCAAGAAAAAGATTTCTTTGTGTGCTTGTGGTCCATTCCTGACTCTGTCCCCCCTCTTCAATCTATTAATGTAGTGAGTTACATTAATAGATTTCTGTTAAAACATCCTACATTCCTGGAATAACCCCAATTCAGTCACTTTATAAAATAGAAAATTCAAAGCTAGATTCAGCTTAGTGAATTTTTTTTAGGGACTTTTGCATCTATGTTTGTTAATGAGGTTTTTTCCTGTAATTTTCTTTTCGTGCACTATACTTGAAAGGTTTTGGTTTTAGGATTATACTAGCTTTATGAAATAAGCAGAAGTGTGCCTCCATCTTCGCGCCCCCCCCCTCTAGAAGAGCTTGAATAAAATAGGAATTAACTGTTTCTTGAATGTTTGATAGGACTTAGTAATGAAACCATCTAGACCTGATATTTTCTTTTTTTTAATTTTTTATTGTTATGTTAATCCCATACATTACATCATTAGTTTTTGATGTAGTGTTCCATGATTCATTGTTTGTGCATAACACCCAGTGCTCCACGCAGAATGTGCCCTCTTTAATACCCATCACCAGGCTAACCCATCCCCCCACCCCCCTCCCCTCTAGAACCCTCAGTTTGTTTTTCAGAGTCCATCGTCTCTCATGGTATGTCTCCCCTTCCGACTTACTCCCCTTCATTCTTCCCCTCCTGCTATCTTCTTCTTTTTTCTTAACATATGTTGCATTATTTGTTTCAGAAGTACATAGACCTGATGTTTTCTTAATCAGATAAATAAATGTAAGCTACAGTTAAGTGGAGTCATAGCTGGTCAACACGGTCTTACCCAAAAAGTGTTAAGAAATGGCTCAAAATTAGTCTGTCCTGTCTGATGTTTTGGGGAGTAGCCTGGATGAAAAATTTAAAAGCCAATTTATCATATTTTCAGGTGATAAAAATGTAGTAGGGAAGATCTATAATTATGTCTGTAGGGTAAAAAAAAATAAACTGAAATGAATTTGATTCAGTTTATCATGATGAAAGGATTGTGGAGATGCTAAGAGTGAACTCTACCTCCTTCTAGATTTGCATTTATGTTTTTATATCTTCATGTCTTAGTCATTGGCCCTGAGAGCAGTTTGTTTCAATAGGACTCAGAGCTTTTCCCTGACCACAGACTGGAGGGGAGGGGGCGTATGCTGTGGGTGCTTCAGCTGCTACGGTCTGTCTGGTTGTCATAGGGAGAGAGGATCCCGCATGTTCCATGCTCTTTTTGGTCCCATTCCTGTAGGTACTGCATGTCCAGTTCTGAGCACTATGCTTTTATGATAAGCCATAACATGTGCAGAGGAGAGTGACCTGGATAATATTTCTAGAACAGAGTTTCTCAGCCTTGGTACTTCAGACCTTTTGGGCCAGATAATTCTTTGTTGTGGGGGCTGTCCTGTGCCTTTGTTGGATTCTTTTTTTTTAAGATTTTATTTATTTACTTAAAAATAAATAAAGTGGGGGAGGGGCAGAGAGAGAGTCGGGGGAGGCACAGAGAGAGGGAGGGAG